GCTTGACCATCTATATATAATCAAACATTATAATTATAATAATTATTAAAAAGTTAAAAAATTTTGTATTACTAAACTTTACACTAATTGAAAACATTTTATATGATATTAATTGCTTATTAATTGCTTTTCATACATTACTTAAAAGTTATAGTAAAATTTAGTGTATGAATAGTGAAAAAAGTCAAAGCGTGTCAATTATTATGGATCGAAAGATGTAATTATTTTCATTAGGGCAAATGGTGTAGATATTGTAGCCTTGTAAGCTAGAGCGCATTCGATTCAAACTTTTCTAATAATTTCCTACCCCAATATGTTGATTCAAGCGGACGTAGAAGGGAACATTTGTCTTGGTAGGGCCTAGGAGTCCTTGGAAGATAAATCCAAGCCAAGCCAATTCGCTCTGTTTTAGGTCGATCAATTTCAGGTCAAATAGGAAAAACGATCTCATATCTTGACCTCTTGAGTAACATCCTTTAAATTTTAATCAACCAAGCTATTGATCATCTTTTGATCATAATATATTTGTTGTTGGATAACTTTGATCAAAATTTTGATTAAATAAAGTATGTAGTAAAAAAGAAGGTTATCGACTTATCATCATTGTTACAATGTACTTTACATAAAGTGTAAACTTGACACTTTTCTTTTTCTATGACTCCTACTACTACCAGTGGCGTGTATGCCTTACTAATGGAGGATAGATGAATTGAAAAACAACAATTCAACTAATAAGTTATGTTGACAAACATATGACTTGATTGATTGATTGTATGAAAATTCTTTGCGTTAGGGTCTATTGTTTTAAGTTCTAAAAAATTTAAACAAAAACCACGTATTGTAAAAAAGAAAAGGTATTTGTTGTCGGCTTCTAAGCAAATCCTAAGTATAATTTTTTTTTTTTGGCTCGTTCAAATTGAATGCACAAGTTTAAGATTAAAAAAATAAAAAATAGAGAGAACTAAAGATATGATATAATCAATTTGTTAAAAAGACAACATAAAAAGCAACGCTTTTGTAGTGTGGTGTTTGGCGGCAAGTCACATATACCAAAAATAGTTACCATGTAATTCCTGACTAATTGAATAACCCTTGATTGATCGAGTAGCCCTTGACAACCGAGTAAACCCTGGGCGAGTAACCCCAACCACACCATGTGGCAATGAACTAATTTTCTATATTGTTTTATCCTATCTAGTTCAGCTTTTTTATTTTTTATTTTTTATTATTGGCTTAATTAAGTCATAAATCCAACTTAGCCCCTGTACACTTCACCTTACAAAAATAATATTATGTAAAATAATTTCAATTCAGTAAAAATAAGTTCAGTTCAGTAAAAATAAGGCCAAATTAGAAAATAACACCAAATAAAAACCCCGATTTTGATAATAACACCACCGAAAAAAATAGTTTTATTATAACACCACTAAAAATCCAGAAATTTTGGTTTCACCACCCACTAACGGACTTTTGGATGGAAACCGTTAGTGGAGCTCGCCATGCATACATGTCAGTTGTTTATTGGTTTTAAAAAAAGAATTTTTTTTTTAAAAAAACTAACCCCCTAACCCGGCCAGCCCCACCACCGGTACCACCTGCCCCAACCGTCGGCATCCCCTCCCCTCAAATAATCCGACGAAACTAGCCCAGCCGACCGCCGATATACCCCTTCCCTAACGCCGACACCGCCCGATATCCCCTCCCCTAACACCAGCACCGCCCAAGCCAAGCCAGCCGCCGGAACCCCTATTTCCCAACAAACCCCATCGACCCACCAACCCTGCCACCACCATAGCCCCCCCGCAAAGCTGGAATCAAACCTAGATTAGCGGGTGTTAGGGGAGGAAGTTTCTGGTATATCGGTTAAGGGGAACAAGTTTTGGGGGCTGCCGACGTTATGGAAGGAGGTTTTGGGGGTTTTCGATGTTAGGGGAGGATGTTTCAGGGGCTGTTGGCGTTATGGGAGGAGGTTTGGGGGGTTTTCGATGTTAGGGGATGATGTTTTGGGGGTTATCGGTGTTAGGGGAGGAGGTTTGGGGGGTTTTCAGTGTTAAGGGAAGAGGTTTGGGGGTTGTCGGTGTTAGGGGAGGGGGTTTTGGGCGGTGCTTGTGTTAGGGGAGGGGGTATCGGGCGGTGCTTGTGTTAAGGGAGGGGGTATCAGGTGGTACCGACGTTAGGGTAGGGGTTTACCGGCGGTAGGTTGGGCTGGTTTCGTCGGATTAATTGAGGGGAGGGGATGCCGGCGGCAGCAGCGGCTGGGGCAGGTGGTGCCGATGGTGGGGCTGGCTGGGTTAGGGGGTTAGGTATTTTTTTTTTGTTTAAATTTTTGGTTTTTTTTTAAAACCAATAAACAACTGACACGTGTACATGGCGGGCCCCACTAATGGTTTCCATCCAAAAGTCCGTTAGTGGGTGGTGAAACCAAAATTTCGGGATTTTTTAGTGGTGTTATAATAAAACTTTTTTTCGGTGGTGTTATTATCAAAATCAGGGTTTAAATTGGGTGTTATTTTCTAATTTGGCCTAAAAATAATTTCAGTTTAGTGAAAATAAGTTCAGTTTGGTAAAAATAATTTCATTTTAGTAAAATTAATTCAGTTCAGTAAAATTGAGTAAATATAAAGAATATATAATAGAAAATCAGTAAAAATAATTTCAGTTCAGCAAAAAATAATTTCAATTCAGTTGATAGACAGTCGCACACCTACAAAAATAATAAAAGCCTAACTAATCCTCCTAATATGTAGTAGAGTAAGTCATGGTCGATCCCACAGAGAAGGTGTTATCAATATTGGGTTGCTATGAATAATAATAGTTGAATCAAATAAATATAGGGTTGGAATTATTATACTACTACTAACAAAAGAAAATCAAATAATAAAAACATCTAGAATTAAGTATCACCACTAGCGTAATCAATACAAGACAAATTCTTACCCCAATCAATCAATTATATGTCCATAAGGAGGCACGCCCTATAAAATACCAAAGATCTCTCTCGAGTTGTCAATGGCTTCCTTAATTAACAATCAAACCTATTTCCGTGAAATCATGCTAATTAAAGACATTAAGTCCGGCACTCTAACTTCCTAACAATCCATTCCACTTACTTCCGTTGAGAATTTCATACCCTTAATTAATCTATTCAAATATGTCAAAACCCAACTTCCGTTGCGGTCAAGACAATGGAATAATAACAATACCAATTATCCCTAATCTAGTATTGGCATAGGCACAATCAATTAAGCATGAACAATATAAACAATTAATTGAGAATTTAAAAGTATAAATCAAGTATCAATCATGGCTAGGGTTCAACCTAACCCTAGCTAGAATAAAATACTACTCAAACATAATTAAAAGATTAAAGGAGGATGACAAACTCTAAAATTTCTAATCAAGTGGATGGTTGCTTGCGGCACAACCTCCTTTATTAACCCCTAAAGTTAAGCTATATATAAGCATTAGCATTAAGGAAGTGAAGTGGAACTAGGAGTCTTCAAAGTCGGCAAAAACTTATCCAAAACGCTGCATTGAAGCTAGCCACTACCCCGTGGGTGTCTACTGCATTGGTGTATTTTTCTTGAGCACAAACAGAGGAGCCATGACCAACCCAAGGCTTAATGCAACAAGCCACGACTATGCCAAGGCAAAGCAATTCCACACTATGCTCATGCAAATGCAACTTCAAGCTTGGAATGTGATCATATGATGTCAAACTCATAATCTTCTAGATGCTCCTAACTCAACTTAGCTTGCAAATGCGCTCTTCTAGGCACAAATCCTACAAAACAAAGAAAGAAAGCACGAGGAGAGCAATATCGAAATATAAAGAAAAATAGCTCTAAAAATTTAAATATATAGAGAAAATATGATAGAAACACCCAAATATAACATATAAAAATGAGTATATAAATGTGTTATCATCAGTATGAATTAATTTCAATTCAGCAAAAATTATTTTAGTTCAATAAAAATAATTTAAGTTCAGCAAAAATAATTTCAGTTCAGTAAAAATAATTCTAGTTCCGCAAAAATAAAGTGAAGTGAACGGGACCTTAGAGTATCGCATGACACCAACAAACATGCTAACATCACAAAAGACCTCCTTTATATTTGGTAATACTTCCTATGTTCTTTTTTTCTTGACCTGTATTTTTATCATGTTTGCCAAGGCAAAATTTTAATGATCAATACTTTAATTCTCCATGAAGTAAAAATTATAAAAGTTATATATTATGATAGTACTTATATATTGAGACGAATTCAAAAATATCACTCATAAATATATATTTTTTCTTACCGATTAATCACAAAAAACGGTCAAATAAGGGGTGCTGAATAGTGTAAAAGTTAAAGCGGGTCAAGTAAAAAAGAACGGAGGAAGTATGACTTTATTTTTTTACAACAACAAACACAAGATAAGAAAATCATTATATATTAGTTTTAAAAACAGTGAAACTAAGTTTACAAAGATTAGTAATTTCGTGTGCAAAATGGATATGATCTCAATCAACCTTGAGTAGAACACGTTATTGGAGGGATAGACTAGTTTTTCTTATGTCCTAAATTGTTCCATTCTAGTCTTCCTCTCATTTTCTTAAATTTTCCATTCGTTTATTCATCACGCAAATTAGCTAATTAGGTGCTTTAGCTATTGCAGAGAGGGGACTAGTGATTGCTGCTAGGTGAGACGAGTGTTCAAGAGTAATACTGTTATTTAACCATATCAAACTTACTAAATATACTTTGATTACAAGTATCAAGACATTTCTATTTTAGAAAAATATAGCAGTTAAAAAAAAAAACGACGAAATTATAAGTAAAATCCTACCGAGTACAAGATCACATACCCTACACATAATATGCTTGCAACAAACTTTTAAATAAAACACTTCAAAATAATTAACTATAAACAGGATCAAAATAATAACTTAAATAACTAAATCAACTAGTATTAGTCTAATCTAATGGACTATTATTAGTTTATTACTACTACTAATTATACACCTCTTTCTCTCTCCTCCCAACATTTTTTTGACTCCTTCCAGTAGCTGAAGGACCCATTTTTTTTACTCACTGTTGATACTTCAAAAAAATTAAAAAATAAATAAATTCTCTCCTTTTCTTTTTCTTTTTCATTTTCTTTCTCTCTCCTCTCAATTCTTCCCCAAATTCTTTGATACTCTCCACTTGCCCCGAATTTCTTCTCTTACGAAACCCTAACTTCATTCATATTCTCATCTTCTGCTTCATCGATCGAATTTTAACCCTAATTTTCTGCTTTTTGCTGTAAATTTGTACTATCCATTTCTAATATTTTTTCCAGTGATTCTTTTTTTTTGTTACAAATTTCTCCATTTTTGAGCTGTAATTTGAATGAATCTGAAGCTCAGTGAACTGTTTGAAGCACAAAATGTGAGTGTTTTGATGACTGATTTTGAGTAGAATTACTATGGCGGAATTTGCGGTTTTAGAGAGAGAAAGTGGTCGGTGAATGGTGATTACTGTTGTTGGAGGTAGACTACCATGAATGCCGATCAAGCTAGAGCTGGACCTGTGGAGAGAGATATTGAGTTGGTAATTTCACTATTTTATTATTTGATTTTATTTTATGTATTATTTTTTGAATTGTTTTTTGATGATTTTACATGCATTATTTGGTACGGATTTCTGCGTACTAGATTCTCAATAATAGTGCAATTATTCTGATAATTTTTAGATAATATATTAGTATTATTTTTGTAGGAGAAGAATTATTCGTTGTATTTGAAGAAATTATTTGTTTCTATATATATTTCTGCTAAATTTGGGCGTACTAAACGACATCTAGATGCTGGCACGTTTACTTGTGATTTTGAAAATGTTTATAAGTTGAATTTTTATATTCTTAATTATTGTCTTCAATCTGCCACGATTAACACGTTATAATGCTTTCTTATGGTTGTCTGTTTAAAACTGGAAGCATTTGGAGCAGTCATTTAACTGTTTTGCTAAATTCGAGCCACGGCATCTCGTGAGGTCGTTGCTTAATGTGATATCATACATGATTTGGAATATCTGGATTTTATATATGTTTGGATAATGAAACTCAATGATTATAACCCTATGTGAAAAGACATAGTTACGATTGCTGCCTCTAGTTTCCGTAAATAATGGTTCACTTTTGTAGCATGAGGATGATTTAAGATTTTAGCTAATCTAGATTGTCATCATATCATTTCAATATCATATACGGTGTTCTTAGGAACATATTGTATTATTTAGTTTTATCATACTGCTGTTCACTTTTTGGCCCGCCTACCTTATGAATCAACTAAAATTGTGGAATATTTGAACCTCATGTCATCAAATGACTGGAGGATAAGGATGAGTTTGTGGAAACCAATTTAGTCTTGTTTTGACATTCTACCCACAAGTACCCCCACCACCCTGCCCTTACATGAGCTTGTGCATGTTTGAACTCATTCCACCAAAAGTAACTGATGGACAGCTATTAGCAAATGATGGAAGTTAGTACATCTTAGGTGATGGTTTACGTCAATAGTATTTATCTCTTCGGTCGGTTTGATCTTATACGTTTTCTTCTTTGCGGCTGCTGTTCATACATGGACTCAACAATCGCAAAGAGGTCATTTTTGTAACAGGGGATGCCCTGGTGGGATATAAGTTATACAGTGTTAATCTCATTTCTACATGTCACTACTCACCGTAAGTAAAATAAATGATTTGTTTCTATAACTGCCAGTAAGAAAAAGATTGATAAAATGCATTTTTGTATTTGACGTGTTAAAAAATGAGGGCAACCAATAATGGATGATTTGTGTTTTCTAGCCTAGAGAGTTGACATTTCCTAATCTTGAAAACTTGAAGATTGTCCAACGGGAGTATTTTTATTTTTCATTTTTGATTTTTTATTTTTTTTAATTATAAATTTTTAAGCATTCATTGTAATGTTAAGCTCTTGTTATGCTCTGATCCCTTTCTCCTTGCTAAATTTCCAAGTTTCTAAAGAAAGCCACTTTACTTGTTTATCTATTGTAGGCAATCACTGCTCTGAAAAAGGGAACAAATTTACTGAAGTACGGGCGTAGAGGAAAGCCGAAGTTCTGCCCATTTAGATTGTCTAATGTAAGCTAATTTTATAGAACTTCGGTAAATTTAACTAATTTCTACATCTTGTTGGATGGTTAATATTTTCTTTGTTATGAATCGCAAATCTTCACTTTCAAATTTTCATTTTCTTGCACCATGTATGATGTATATCTTGGTACAATGGATGCGTACATTTCTTGAACATAGGCTGTTTATGAACTGGCATCTATTGTACTGATACATTTTGCTTATTGTTTTCTGTAAAAAATTTCTGCTGTTTCTTATGTAATTTTATGTTTTTGACTTTGTATCTTAATTGAAATTATCTTATCATTTTATCAATACTTATTTGTTCTCTTGTGATTCTCATAGAACATTTTCTTTCCTTTTATTTTAGCTAGTTACTTCATTTTTAGATAATTTAAAGAGACAGGATTTCTTATACTATCTTTGCAGACGGTTTGGAAAACCACATGTTCTTTTTACTCGTTAGAGTGCCCCTTAAACTTCTGAGCATGTACAGAATCAGCATGACAGCATGAATGGCCTTGGCCCTTTGATGAATACTTTCCTGTAATTCTGGTGGTTGTAATGGAAATCTTGATGCCCAAATTGCTGCTTATACTTTATGGAGTGCCCTTCCTTTTTCTTCTGGGCATGTAAATGCAGAATCAACATTAGTGGCCTTAAACGTTAAACCTTTTGATGGATACCTCCCCTGTTAACTAAGGTAAGCCCAACACAGTGACGAGCTTGGGAAGACGAGGAATTGGGACACATAGTGGGTTTGAATTTTTATTTTGTAGTTAAGAGTCATGATAGAGATTGTAGGTAAGTGAGAATATTTGACAAACATGAGTTGCACGCCTGCGCACAAAGTGGCTAGTCCTTGCGAAGGCTTCCAGAGGCAAACAAGAGCTACTGCTTGTGGTTTGATGGCCCACACGTTGGGTGCAAGTTTCTGCATGTCAGTGCAGATGCTACTGACTTCATGATGTGTTTTACTTAGCGGTTTTGTGGTATGCTTGCAAGTTGCAAATTTCTCAGTTCCGATTGTATTGGGAACTAAACGATTGCCTTATAATAAATTGATTAGGATACAGTTTTATGTTATTTGCCTTATAATAAATTGATTAGGATACAGTTTTATGTTATATATATATAGTTTCCGAAGTTGATTAATGGTCTAGGATTTCCAATCCTCTAACTAAAGACTAAAGAGGGATTGGAGATCTTTTTCTTGTGTGCCTAGCTAGAAGAAAACAATTTTACTCTAAAATCCGGTTTGAATTACAAATACCATGAGAGTTCTGATTGAGAGAGGAAATTGTAATTGTGGGCAAGCAGTGAGAGGTCGCTAAAGGGAGTTGCTCCTCAAAAGTTGATGGGTTTTTCCTCTCTTTTGGTGAGGGGAGGCTGTTTCATGTAAAATTGCATTTTTTGTGTACTTGTTCGCACCTTTGATTGTTCATATCTTATTTATTGTTGTTTTTGCTTCCACTAATCCTAACATTCTCCGAAATCTTAGTGGTACTGATGTCATTAAATTATAGAAGAATATTTCCTTTTTTTTTTTGAAGGGAATGCTGTTCCTTGTTTACATGGACATGATTTAATCACTAGAATCTATTATTAATTAACATATAACATAAAGTGTCAACTCAAGATGCTGCAAAGGTTAAGGTGTAGGCTCTAATATATTCCCCGCACTACCTTTCCCCCAATTTCTCATTTTTGGCATTGTTTGGTGCAGCTGCATCTCCCACATGAATAAATAGTCACATAAACACCAGTGAGAAATGTTGCAATGATTTCTACAAGAGCTTCCACATCTTATAGATTAAGCACTTCATATGTGGAAGTAGAATTTTGTGCTTGAAATTTTCAAATGGTTCAATTGATTACAAGTTCTTGCAATATAAAATTATTTACTGAGGCCTGAAGGTCCTGATGGTATTTTCTCGAGTCCTCCTTCTGTGCACGAATGTTGCTGTACTTTTTGGAAAATATGCTATCTTCATAGTCATTTTTAATCTTTGCATGATCCGTCTTTTGTGGATTGGGTAGCTCAGTAACGTGGGTAATCGTTCTATTATCTGAGTTAATTTCTTTCTTTTTGTTTCCCTCATCAATTGATTTGTGTTATATTTGTTGGTGAACTGAAGAATAGTAAGGAGCATTGTGTAACTTTTGTAAAAGAAGGCCAAGTGTAAAAATCATCAGTACATTTAATCCTTATAACTAATATATCTGTTTTCATACAGTTTCTCCTTTAACCTAAACCCTTCTACAACAAAATATTATACATTTCCCATGTGTTTTACCTTTCAAATTAAATGCTATCCTGATTTTGAGCTGTAGAAAGCTGAATCTTTTGTATGTCTAATGCTGTTACATGATTTATAATCTTATATATTTCAGGATGAATCTGTTCTAGTATGGTACTCTGGGAATGAGGAGAAACATCTAAAGCTCAGTCATGTTTCCAGAATAATTCCTGGACAGCGCACGGTAAGCATTTTTCACCTTGTCATCATCTTAAATGTTATGGTTTACTTTGTGCAGTTGTTTGCAGATTATCAGTGGTTTAGTGGTACTGGTTAACCTCAAGGTAGTACATTTTGTAACTAGTGCAGTAGTGCTTCATTCTAAAAAACTTTCTCATGTATATATGCCATCGACTTTTACGGAATACCTCAAGCAAAAATAAATGGATACTGTGTAAAAAGGGGTGGGTTAAAGCTAATTTGTGATGGATCAATATCTAATACCTATGCATCTTTCAACCAATAGGTGTAGAGTTTTTTTTTTCCCTTTCTATTCTTGCTTGCTTACTGGAAAACAGTGTGCTGATTTAACAGTATGTCAGACTATATATCACACTTTATCTAGAGATTTGGGAGGTTTTCTATCCTCCCTTACCACCATCTATATATTTACTTGGCTGGATGTCAAGACAAGACATAAATGTATTTATTATTTCTTGAATATATTACAAATTTAAGCTTATACTGATAAAAGCTAGGTTATGCAGCCTATTTTTCAGAGATATCCTCGACCTGAGAAGGAATATCAGTCATTTTCTCTTATATACAGTGATCGTTCTTTGGATGTGGTGAGTTATCTCCATTAATTCTGTCTTTGTTCTTTTGTTTTAGATGAAAGCAACCAATTTACTGAACTCCTTGAGTGGTCATATATATTTGTCTAATTCAATCTGTCCTGTCAATCCTATGTAACTTGGTAACTAATAAAGAAACCAATAATTTTTTTTTTTAATGGAGGTTGGGGGGGGGGGTGGTGGTGGGGAAAGGAAACGTTAAAAGAGAGCTTGGTAAGAGAGAAGCAAACAAAAACATAAATAATCTTCTAATCCTCTAACCAGGACCTCTGGAAAATCCTGCATTATTTTTACTCTTTGAACATGCCACACATTGATCTAAACCAAGTTATATGAACAATTTTTATTTTTATTTTCCCTTCGCAGCCTGGTAGGGGCTACCCCTCTTCCCCCTCCCCCTTTTTTCATACCTTAACATTGTAAATGCACAGTGAAGAATCAAGATATGTTGAAAACCCAACTCCAATATTTTGTGGAGTACTTTCCAGAAATTTGGGCATATAGGATTTTCAGCAGCTTAATATTGAGAAATATTGATGCTGGACATCAGTAGTCATCACAAGATCCTTCCAGGGTGAAGTTGTGGGTCAAATAACTTTAATGGGTACTTAATTTCTGCCGTCTTTAAGATCTAAGACAAGAAGCTGGATGGTTAAAGGAGAAACCCAACTGTGTTTAGGAGTTTCATCTGTTTTGGTCTGATTTGCCCAAATGTTTGTTAGTAATGTGAGGTAGAGAATTAAGAAGTAGTTGAGTTGTGACTAGTTGCATCCAGGTGTCTATGGTATCTGTTAGAGTTGTTACGGGTCTTTGATCTGTTCTAGTATATGGATGGAATGGTTCCATGTCTAATCTGCATCTCTCTATCTGCAATACTGCATTGATTTTTTGATGTATTTTGCTGGCTGCTTGAAGAGTTGGTATAGTGGCACCACTGGCACCAGCTCTATTCCATTCTTCTGGTACCATGCGCTGTTGTCATAGCCTCCAGTTGAGGAGGCTGGTTCCGGCTTCCTCTTACCTTTTATGTAGGTTGAAGAACAAAGAATAAAAAATATGGTATGTTCATTTGCAGATTTGTAAGGATAAAGATGAAGCTGAAGTCTGGTTTACTGGCCTAAAAGCACTAATATCACGCTATCATCGAAGGCCAAGAGTAGATCCAAGAAGTGGACTTTCGTCTGAAGCAAATAGTCCAAAAGCTCAAACCCAGAGGAGTTCTCCCTTAAGCTCTCCCTTTGGTAGTGGTGATGGTTCACAAAAGGTGGTCTTTTGCAGTTTCCTAATTGCTGATCACCTAATTGTATTTTGACTATCTGGTTATAATAACGAGATCCGTTTTTTTTTGTTATATTTTTTTTTATATATTTATCAGGATGGATTGGATCCCCTTTATCCCTACGAGAGTCCTCAAAAAAATGGCTTGGAGACCGCACTGTCAGATGCAATTTTGTATACAGTACCTGCAAAAAGTTTTATCCCCCCAGAATCGGCATCTAGCTCTGTCCATTCCTTTTCTTCTGGAGGTTTTGATGGCTTAAATGGACGCAGCAAATGTAATGGTGCTGATACTTTTCGTGTGAGTCTTTCAAGTGCTGTTAGCTCATCGAGCCATGGCTCTGGTCATGATGATGGTGATGCTCTAGGAGATGTTTACATTTGGGGGGAAGGCACAGGAGATGGTATTCTTGGCGGTGGAGCCTATAGAATTGAAAGTTCTTTGGGTGTGAAGTTGGACTCGTGTAGGCCTAAAACATTGGACTCGGCTGTACTTCTTGATGTTCAGAATATAGCATGTGGTGGAAGGCACGCTGCCTTGGTGACAAAACAAGGAGAAGTTTTCACATGGGGAGAAGAATCAGGAGGCAGACTTGGTCATGGTGTGGATTCTGATGTCTCACATCCAAAGCTTGTCGATGCTCTTAAGAGCACCAATATTGAACTTGTCGCTTGTGGAGAAAATCATTCCTGTGCTGTATCACTTTCTGGTGATTTGTACATATGGGGTGGCAGAAAATACAGTTTTGGTCTTTCTGGACAAGGTGATGAAATGAGTCATTGGATCCCAAAGAGGTTGATTGGACCATTGGAAGGCATACATGTCTCATCAATTTCCTGTGGACCTTGGCATACTGCCATTGTAACCTCAGCTGGACAGCTGTTCACTTTTGGTGATGGAACCTTTGGTGTCCTTGGCCATGGGGATCGTAAAAGTTTTTCTGCTCCAAGAGAAGTTGAATCTCTAAAGGGCTTGCGAACGGTACGTGCAGCCTGTGGTGTGTGGCATACTGCTGCAGTTGTTGAAGTTATGGTGGGAAATTCAAGTTCAAGCAATTGCTCCTCAGGCAAATTGTTCACTTGGGGCGATGGGGATAAGGGTCGCCTTGGACATGGGGATAAGGAAGCAAAACTTGTGCCTACCTGTGTTGCAGCCCTGGTTGATCCCAATTTTTGTCAGGTTGCCTGCGGCCATAGCTTGACTGTCGCACTTACAACCACTGGCCAGGTTTACACAATGGGTAGCCCCGTCTATGGTCAATTAGGAAATCCTCAAGCAGATGGGAAGCTACCTGTTCGAGTAGATGGAAAGCTTGTAAAAAGCTTTGTCGAGGAGATCTCTTGTGGGGCTTATCATGTTGCTGCTTTAACTTCAAGAACTGAAGTTTACACCTGGGGAAAGGGCGCAAATGGTAGATTAGGTCATGGGGACACAGATGACAAAAATAGCCCGACATTAGTTGAAGCATTAAAAGACAAACAAGTCAAAAGTATTGCATGTGGAACAAATTTTACTGCAGCTGTTTGTCTTCATAAGTGGGTATCAGGTGTTGATCAGTCTCTGTGCTCTGGATGCCGAGTAGCTTTCAATTTCAAGAAAAAAAGACACAACTGCTACAATTGTGGCCTTGTGTTTTGTCACTCATGCAGCAGCAGAAAGTCCCTTAAGGCTTCAATGGCACCTAATCCTAATAAACCTTATCGTGTCTGTGATAATTGTTTTGGAAAACTAAGGAAATCCATAGAAAATGACTCATCTTCTATCTCTTCTTTGAGTAGGAGAGGAAGTATGAATCAGCGAGGTAACCAGAACTTTGACAATGAGGACAAAAATGGTCCACAGGCCCTTGTGCCGCTAGGTAAGTATTCTCCAATGGACTCCTTCAAGGAAACAGAAAGTGTGTCTTACAAGAGGAACAAGAAATTAGAATTCAACAGCAGTCGTGTGTCCCCCCTTCCAAATGGATTTACTCATTGGGGTGCACTTAGCACTTCCAAATCTGGGTCATCAAAGAAATTTTTTTCCGCCTCTCTTCCTGGGTCACGCATAGTTTCTCGAGCAACTTCACCAACATCAAGACGTTCTAGCCCTCCTCGAGCTGCGACACCAAGTCCAACTATGGTAGTACTTTCTTCACCAAACAAAGTTTTGGATGATGCTAAGAGGACCAACGATCATCTTAGTCAAGAAGTTCTGAAACTTAGAGCTCAGGTACACATGATTATTAATTCTCACTCAAACTGCTGTTACGATTCTTCAGCATGCAGCCGATGCAGGGCATTTCTTTTTTCTTTGCCCCTTTCAAGGTCGAATGACCTTTGAGAGAATGTAGTTTCCCAACTAAAATGAATCTTCCCACCCCCCTTGCCCCTTAAACATAGCATAGACATGCAATACATATGTCATGAGAAATTTGGTTAGATTGAGTATTACATGCCACTAATACATTTTGTTAGATAAAAATTCATTATAAAAAATGGTAAAAAGTTATATTTGCTTTATTATGGGAAGGTCAACTTATATTAATCTTTGCTGTACACACATAATTTTCCAAGGGGAATGTATTCCTGAGCCTTTTCTCTTCCTCTTTCTCAGTCGAGACTCTGAATGCCAGATGTGGTATTTTCTGTTAAAAAATCTAGCTTATACGAAATAACATTTACTCTTAGCACACAAAGAATTTCTCCAGCTCTATATTTTTGACTTTTTTCATTTACATTTTCAATATCTAGTATGTCAAAGGTATTAGCTATTCGGAGAGCACCAGATTGCATCCTTGAAAGTATTGGGACTCTGGAACTTGTATAGTAGTATGTGGAACCTACTACTTGATGTGGCTGTGTTGTAGGAGAATTAGGTGACCTAGATGCAACTTGGTTTATAGGCCTCTTTAAGGGGCCCAAGTTTGGGATTGTTGGTCTTAATGAACAGCTATTTGGTGCTTGGAGTTCTTTTGGTGGTTCCTACAGAACCTTATTCCCTTAGTTGATGGATAAAGATCCAGCAAAGGGCCTGTTGTTTTGGTCGGAAGTACTTCCTTCTAATAGTTGCACAGATGTTCTGGTGAATGAAGAAAGCTTAGCTTGCTTTGCCCTATTTATCTTGGTCATTTCCATATTGTTGTGTTGACTTATACGAGGGATAAGATTGAACTTCTTTTGGGGCAATTATGTGGGTTCTTGTAGTTTACAAAGAATGACCTTAGGTTTACATAAATGACTACATTTTTTGCTACTTGGAATATGATAGTTTTCCAACTTATCTTTGGAAACTGCTTTTTTTTTTTTTTTTTTTTTTTTTTTTTAAATTTATTTTTAATTATTCTTATTTAAATTAAATTTTTAATGTTTATTTAGGATTTCTTGGGATATTCTTTCAATGTGGATGATATGCTCTTTCATCTTAAGGGTTTATGTTGAGATGACTCCAGCTGTTGTGACATTTTTTTTGTGTACTAATTGCACCCATTTTGACATTTGCCAGAATTCACTTGTCTAACTTTGTCCAATTTTTCTACATATATATATTTCCTATGCTCTTATTCAACGCAGCATTTGGAATTTTACACTCTTTACAGACTCTTCTTTGATCTCTTTTATGATTTATACGTTTGAAATAGTGTAGTCATGTGTGATCTTATTAAATTCGTTTCGATATATACTTTCAAAATATCAACTTTTTATAAATTGTACTAATGTATAATTTAAGATTTTAATAAAATGTGCATTAGCAAGTGTGAAGTCCCCAACTTTGCGATCGAAAATATAGGGTTTGTCCTTATATTTTCAACGTGTCTAAATTCTATTGATGACCAATGATATCATATATAAAGGGTCAAAGTCTTGTATTGGCAAACGTGAAGGTCAAAATGGTGCAATTATTTTGAACAAAGGAAGAATATTGCAACAATGCAATCATATTCTAATCTAAGATGTTGCATTTTAAAATCGCCTTTTCTGATTCATAATGCAGGTTGAAGAACTTACACGAAAAACACAATTTCAAGATGTTGAGCTGGAGAAAACTTCAAAACAGTTGAAGGAAGCTATAGCAATAGCAGGAGAAGAGACTGCAAAGTGCAAAGCTGCAAAGGAAGTAATCAAGTCACTTACAGCACAAGTAAGGATTATACCCATCTAAATGCAATAATGCAATTTATACAATATCTATCTATCAAAGAAAAAACAGCTGCCTTTTTCTATTACTCATAGTGCATAAAATTACGATATATGCTTTCTGACATAGTTATTGATTTGAACCTCTGCTGAACTATGATGGATGTTTATAAATTTAGCAACATCTTCAATTTATACAAATCAAACTTTCCGCATAATTGATAATAATCTAAAATAAATAGTGCTACTCCATCCGTATCCCGATAAGTTAATGTCATTGTTGTAGTCAGATCATTCATCTATTAGATCATATATAAATACTAGTAATTGATAGGGTTGAATTATACACTATCAGCTGCCCTTTATTGGTTGATGGTTCCACGGGGGGTTCATGCTGGAATCTCAAGTAAGAGCTTAGAACTATTACATCTGAACCAGCACCGTACCTTTGATGCTGGGATTGTTACTGACTATATTGGACCATTAATATTCTGCAGATGATAATAATCTAAAATAAACAGTGCTACTCCATCCGTATCCCGATAAGTGCATCACTTATAACCTAAAAATGACCGTACCTAAATAAGTACATCACTTTCCTATATGGATAAATCTGTGTTTTATTATTTCTCTTACCTCCCACTACCCCACTTGTATTCTTTATCATTTCTCTTTCTTCTGATGGTCCCCACACATACTCTCACTATCATATTTTTTTTTTGTTTTTATACCACTTTCCCACTCATCTTTTATTAACATATATAACTCTCAACTTCACCCACTTACCCATTAAAAATACTCACTTTAGATTACTTGCATAAAACTTTATCCACAATCTAGTGATGCACTTAAATAGATGAGGAGGGGAGTATCTAGTTCATGCTTCGTCTGTTTAGGATAATGTGGTTTAATTAATATTTCATCAATTACAAAGGATTATCTATAGTTTGGCTCAAAATAGATATGACAGGAGAGTTAAGTACAACCAATGCTTCAGTTGATGAGCCTAGCTGATGAGGTCTGTATGATCAAAATCAGAAAATGCAAAAGCAAGACAAGCCAGATTAGACGCTGGAATTACTGTATATAAGTGAAACTAGTGAGATGAGAAATTATCATTTCCAGTCCTATCTATATCATAATTTGTAAAAAAAAAAAAAATAAAAAAAAAAATTGGGTGGGTGGAGGTTGTAGGATTATTTATAGTACTACTCTGATCATGTTTTGCTTTTTCTGGTTTATTTATACTATTTTGATCATTTTTGCTATTCTCTGGTTTCTAGTTGAAGGAAATGGCTGAGAGGTTACCTCTTGGAGCAGTAAGAAACAGCAAGGTGTCTGTACCAGGTTCCCCAGGGCCAAATCTGTCAAATGATGTTTCAAATGTAATGGATCGACTTAACAGTCCAGTGGCTGTTCATGAAATTGGTTTGAATTGGTCAAATCGTCATGATTCTTCAAATGGATCGACTACTCCCAGCAGTCGAGCCTCAAATAACCTTGTAACAGGTCAGTTGGAGGCTTCATGCAAAAATAAGAACAGAACATCTGATAGCGAAGCTAATTATGGATCTGAATGGGTTGAACAAGACGAGCCTGGTGTGTACATCACCCTTGTGTCAATGCCTGACGGTATTAAAGATTTAAAACGCGTCCGCTTCAGGTAATTTGTTGATTGAAATATTCTTATATGTGGAACAGCTGATGTTCTTGATTAAGAATCTAAGTTAATCCAGTGTTAGGTATATGTGCAGTTAATGTACAAATAAACTTGATTTTGCTGTCTGATTGGTATTATCATAGCTTTCCCGCTAACACCCTTCTGTTGCACCATCTGTGTTTGTGTGCACATGCATTATGAATTTCACTTCTTGTGACCTGATATCTGCTGGCTTGCTACAATGAACTGTAATGTATGTAATATATATTGATCAACTTTGATTATAAAGGCTCTCAGAGTGTCTTTTTTTTGCTTGTGGAGCTCTCTAGTAAATTAAGGTGTTAACAAGAAGGCTAGGTTCTATACTTGCAGTGCTCATTTGTTGCAGACATCTTCCAACCATTTGTTTTGCTACCTTAAAAAGTGTTATGTTTAATGCTTCCAAATTAATGTACACTGTCTGATAACTTAATGTGCAGTAATCAATAGACAAAAAATAAAATAAAATACAGTGCTCCAATTTAATCATCTTAGGCTCGTTGAAAGTTCCAACCTGTTTATTTTATATTCTGTGAGTTTTCTTTCCCCTAATTTACAAAGCTATTTTTCCTTGCTGTGACGCAGTCGAAAGAGGTTTAGTGAAAAGGAAGCAGAGCAATGGTGGGCTGCTAACCGAGCTCGAATATATCAGCAGTATGATGTTCCCATGGTTGACAAGGCTGGTATTGGCATTGGAAGGGAAGGCATAGCACATTGATAGAGGAAGGCTCCGCTTAACCTTGACCCCATATGGCTGAAAATCGGCAAGATCATATATCCTATGAAAACAAGGATTAAAGCTTCAGGAATGCTTTGTGTTCCAAATTTAGATTTAGAAATTTTATATTAGTAGAGCAATTGGTCGACCATGCTTAATCCTTGTCATTTGCCCTTTTCATTTTTGCTCATAACAAAGTGTGCTTTCCTTACTCTTTCTTCTTTTCTAGAGGGAGTTCAGGGTTGCTCATCTTAATGATAGAAGGTAGAAATTGTATATACTCGAGAGTAGGCTGTCAGTTTCGAATATGGGATGCTATTCTTGTATATTCATTAGCCAAATCATATTCAAATTGTACATCTAATGTTGAAGATTGGATCAACTCTTTGAGCTCCATTGTTCTTACCATTCTCTCCATCGCATTCTTGAGGCTGCTGTACTTGGCGTTCTGCTGCATAGCGCTGCTGATGGATTATTGACAGCATCAGCGTTGTGATTCCAATTAACTAGTTTTTGTAACAGCTAACCCAGATCATATATTGTTCAAAATTTGTTGTCCAAGAATATGTTTCAACACAATATGATATGGGAAGGCAACTCTTATATTGGTTTTGATGTTTCAACACTGTTCAATACTAACGTCTATAATTCTGAACTACTAGTCTGATATAATATAATTTCTTGTAGATCCTGCAACCTATTTCAATCTAAAAAGATCAGCCGGATCAATACTAAACCTTTTCACTTTCTATTCAAGAACAAGCAACACCTGGACAAAGTACTACTATTAACATTTACGTGATTGTTAACTATGTCCTGGGTAATCTAAAGTTTAGCCAAAATTACAGCAACTGCATAAAGGAGAGTATATCGAGTCTTGTTTGAATGAGATGATTAATTGCCATGTGATTTCATCCATAGATAATCTTGTAACTGATGCAGGCGATGTTGAGAAGTATTAGAATCAATCGAAAACACTGAAGGCTGAAAGCAAGACGCATAAATCGCCTCTTTAATGTGTTCATCGATCAAACAGAATCTGCACAGCTCCATCCTCTTGGAGCAAGAAAACGGTCTTCATTGTATACCGACACTGCATTTGCAAGCAACAATATGCCCTGAGATAACCTTATAACTGACCCTATGACGCCCATTCCTGCATAGTTCAGAACTCACAAATATGTAAAATTGGAGAAATATCTGGACATTACTATATCAGTAGTATCACATCCATTTTGAAACAAGAAAACCGAGTATCACTGCTTAGAATATCCATCACTAGTTCATCTATCAATATACCTTGGCGAAACAAGATAATTTTTTGACAAAACAATTTAGTCGCGACATCAAGCTAATTCAAGAATATAATGCACCAACACATAAGCTTAAGCTCGGGTCAAGATTGAATCGAGCTTTTCTTTTCCTTTTTATGAATTAATACCAATTAAACTCCTCAAAGTAAAGTTTTCAAAATTTATGTTTCGCAACTCGTGTATGACCCTAAATTCACATAAGCTTAAGTTCACGGCCCGAGCTAGGGCAGGAGGGGCGGCCGCCCAGGAGAAAAGGTCCAATATCATAGTTGCATATTCTAGTATTAAAGGGTTCTATAACACATTAGCAACCAAAGTTGATTCAATTATCACATTTGGCTCGAAAAATTACATGATTTTAGACCAATTTCATAGTTCCATCCTAAGATTAAAGGCAAATTTGATCAAATTATCAAATTAAGCTAGAAAAATCACATAATTTTCTTCTCTAGCAACAAAATCGCTGGTTATGATCTTCATAATCTTAGTAAAATTATAACCCATAGTTAAAGAATCAACTTTAGAATAACCCTAAATTGAGTACTCAAACAATAAAATTGACAATAAACCCTAGATTGTGAAATTGATATTCAATTAATACAAAAAAGAAACATCATCTTACCTCAGAAACTGCTGAGGTTTCTGAAGTCGCCTCAATAAAGAGCGTGGAGCGCGCTTCAATGAGAAACCGAGAGAGAGAGGAAACTGAGGACAAATAGTCCATACTTCAACAGTCCTGACTGTCCATACTTCAACAGTCCTGACTCCAACAACAGTCCAGAAGACTCAATCTCCAACAATCCATACTTCAACAGTCCTGACTACTCCTCCTCCCCAGAAGACTCCTCCTCCTCCTCCCCCCCCTCCCCAGACTCACACTGAAGAAAACCAAAACAAAAAAAAACGAAAAAAAAGAGAGAATGTGATACCACAAAAAAAGATAGAAAAAAGGATCACACAAAATCTCCCACAATGCCTATGTTCACCATTCATGACAAAAAATGAACTAGTATCCAAGACACTAAAAAGAAATGAAAAAATGGTTGTTGAGTATGCATTCGCTACTGGACCACCTGCACTGTAAGTTTGCTGTTCATAACTAATATATCAGTTGTTCCTAATTTATATCAATGCCTAACTTATATATTTCCTAACTTTATATCAATGCCTAACTTATATATTTCCTAACTTTAATTGTTGTTGTATGTGATGCATAATAAAGTGAGGAGCTATACCGAGATCCATTAAACTACATCAACAGGGAGGACATGGCAACACTGCAAGAAGGCAATCAGGTGGTGAGCAACATCATTGACTCCTATGCATATATACTCAACATGGAAAACAAGAGAAGAAATCCTGATGCAAAAAATAGATTTTTTTGCACTACTGAGTGCTGGGTATTGTTCCAAACTCATACATTTAATGTTCCTAATTTATAAACGTAATGTCTAACTCATACACTCATTTCAATACTGAAGCAAATACTATGCGGCGAAGGTCACTTCAAGAAATCAAAAAACACTTACGATGAAAGATATATAGCATTCAAGGCCCGTTTAAGTGACGAAATGAAAAACTCTAAGATCACTACGTTTGATAAAGTTAATTTGGTAAATACTTTCAGATTACTCCCTTTATTGTTTCCCAATATATTTTACAATACATTAACATACTTTTTGTTTCCAATATAGGTATTCTTCCCAGTACCTGCATATTATCATTACTACCTGTTTTGCATCAACTTTACGAAGAAAATACTAGAGGTGATCGACAACAGAAAGCTGCAAAGGCACATTTCATTTAAAAGCAAGTATGAGGACTTCCCACAAACATTTGTAAGAACTCTGTAAAACTAAATTCTAATTGTTCTTAAAACTTGTTCCAACTCCTAATGTCCATGTAACTAACTTTAATTTTTGTATTGAAGTTGAAGGCATTTGCACAATTCCTCAATGAAACACAAGCAGGCAATGGAAATTCAGTAAAAGAATTCAAAATAGTAACCAAACAAATGCCATGGAGGAACAATGATAATATCACAGACTGTGGAGTGTATGCCCTGAAACACATGGAATCATAAAAAGGGCAAGATGACTGGAAAATAGGAGTAAACAACAAAGTAAGTTCCTTAATCCAGATCTTTATATGCCTAATGTTCCTAATTTATATGCCTAATGTTCCTAATTTATGTTCCTAATGTTCCTAATTTATATTCCTAATGTTCTATATCCTCATCCTATAAGTTAGGATCCTGATTGTTTCACAATGATTGTTTGTTGCAGCCTTTGCAGCGTGATGAAATTGCAAAACTGAGGATGGAATTCTGTGGGAAAATCGTGCTGAGCGAAGAAAACACGTGCAGGGAAGAGGTAGTAGATGCCGCAAAAGAGATGAACGCTTAAATTGCAAACTAATATGACAACTTAGTTTGACCATGATTGTATATCACATGCTTAATGTCATTATGAAACGAGAATATTGTATGAATGTTATTAGGCAGGAGAGCAGGGAGGTATGTACAGGCAGGAGGGGGGCAAGTGTGCAGGGAGGTATGTGCAGGCAGGAGGGCAAGTGTGTGCCGGCAAGATGGAGTCTATAATTGTAATAATAACTATATTTCATAACATAGACTTAACTATGTTATGTCCGGTTCAGGGACAATGATCTCTCAATGTCCGGTTCTTATCACTAAAATAAGTACAATGAAGTTCTCACTAAAAAGGCTATTTTTTTCATTTCTGCCAAACGATGAAAACCTATATCAATACAAGATCCACCATCCTTCATTTGCTTCACAGTTCACACATTATATGATAAACTGTAAGGATTTAAGCCATGATAAACTGTAAGGATTTAAGCCTATGAGGAGCATTATGGAGGCTCATGAGGACAGAATTCACAAGTGTCTACTGGACCAGCAGGTGATTCTGGAAAGCAACCCCTGGATAATTAATAATGAACAAAAGTTTGGAACATTTGGTATAGTTTAGAACTTGGTATAACAGTTTGGAACATTTGGTATACAGGTTTGGAACATTTGGTAAAAAAGTTTGGAACATTTGGTATAACAGTTTGGAACATTTGGAATACAGGTTTGGAACATTTGGTATAAACGTTTGGAATATTTGGTATAACAGTTTGGAACATTTGGTAACATTTGGTATAAAAGTGGAACAATACGTATAGAGTTATGAACAGTTAGGAACATTGAGCTATAAGTTATGAACATTTGGTATAAAACTTTCGAACAATACGTAATGAAGTTTTCCAGATTCAGATTTCAGCCCATTTGAGCTATTTTTTTCATTTCTGCCAACAAGATCCACCATCCTTTATTTGCTTCACAGTTCACACATTATATGAGTTCACACATTATATGGTAAACTGTAAGGATTTAAGCCTATGAGGAGCATTATGGAGGCTCATGAGGACTGAATTCACAAGCAAGGCTAGAGCTGCATAAGACAAGTGTCTACTGGACCAAAAGTTTGGAACATTTGGTGTAAAAGTTTAGAACATTTGGTATAAAATTTTGGAACATTATACCAACGTTTGGAACATTTGGTATAAAAGTTTAGAACAATAAAGTTATGAACAGTTAGGAACATTGAGCTATAAGTTATGAACAACAGGTGTATGAGTTTGGAACATTTGGTATAAAATTTTGGAACAATACGTATAAAGTGGCTACCAATGGTTGCTCTCTCATTATTTCTTCTCCTTACAGACCACCTAAAGTCCATTTCTCACAATCTCCTTACAGACCCAAGTCCAAGCGGAGACCCAAGTACAAGCAATGGGAGGACTCACTGATTTAGGAAATATCTAAGAAATATCTAAGTTTTTAAAGAACTCTTAGTAAAGAGATGTGGTACTCTTATTAATCCTACATACTAAATAATCGACCCAGATAATAAGTAAATAAAATCATTAAGACATTACAAAGTGAAAAGAAATTGTTATCAAACTTTTAATATTAGCCAAAGAGTTTTTACACCGATGTAAATGTGATTAACTTATAAACACTATTCACCCATTTGACCCACCCAAAGACTTACCTAAAGCCCAACCATCAGAATATTATGGAGCTGCTCGACAGTAGGTCCTCTTCTTTGCAAGTGGAAAATGTGAGACAATTTCAGGATCCTGATCGACCTCAGGATGCTACAACAACAACAACATGCTCAGCATTTCTGGCCACCAAAAAATTTATCTAACAAAAATTTATCTTAGTCCAAGTATGAATAAGTTTCAATCGAGGCACACAGTTGTTGAAGTACCTGGGTTTGTGAACCGACAAATAGTGACCTTGATACCGATGTGGCTTTTGATGTCCTAACAGCTTCTTGTGCCGAGCAAGGTAACACTACTTAAACACTAATAATGTCGGAAATTGTTGTAACAAATGCCTAACAGCAGGGAGCTTTTCTTTGCCCTTTGCCCTTTGCTCGACTTGATTGGCTGGGAATCTGCATCTCATCTTCATAATCTCATCTCATCTTCATTATATCACATCATTAGTGTTATCACTCGAGAGGCATTGTAAGAGCAGTCTCTTCATGGAGCTACTCGACCCACTACTGGTCTTCTACTTTGCAAGTGGAAAACGTGGGACAATTTCAGGATCCTGATCAAAATTTATCTTCATCAGTATGAACAGAACATCCTCTTGGGAGTATTGGATCTCTTTTCCTTTTGAGAGTACAAAACTTATCGCTTTCTCGCATGAATGTTGAATGCCAGTGTCCTTTCCTACTATGCTCCACCTATTGTGAAGATGCTTACATCGAATACATATCCTTAAAGGACATCAATTTTCAAGAGGATTGGATTTTACCTGCGTGGGAGGATGTACACCTTAGCATTTTCTTCCAAATCGTTCTGCTTGGTTCTTTACCGAAGACAAGAGGGACAAGAGGCTACCAGTGAAAATATTCAGAGGCAGCCTCTTGTCCCTCTTGTCTTCGACAAAGAACCAAGCAGAACAATCTGGAAGAAAATGCTAAGGTGTACATCCTCCCACGCAGGTAAAATCCAATCCTCTTGAAAATTGATGTCCTTTAAGGATATGTATTCGATGTAAGCATCTTCACAATAGGTGGAGCATAGTAGGAAAGGACACTGGCATTCAACATTCATGCGAGAAAGCGATCAGATACATCTTTGTAATGCCTAAGAAAAGAACTCGATTGGAAAGTTCGACATCAGGTGGAAGACAATAGGCTATAACACTAATGATGTCTATACAGATATTTACTAGCCTCTGTTAAAACATTCCTATCCAACTATTGCATTGTCTGTTGAATAACATCCTCAATCTTCCTCCAATCCAACTGTTGCATTGTCCTCGGCTCTTTTCATGAGTATAGTTCTCCATATCATTCTTTGCTTTGGCCTTACGCCTTTTTGTGACATCCTCAGATTTTTTATCTTAGTTGAAGCCATTGACTCTATTGTATCGACATATATTTTGAAATCCTCTATTGTACCGAGGACATGATGCTGATAAGATTGGAAAAAAAGATTGGAGGAAGATTGAGGATGTTATTCAACAGGCTAGTAAATTTGAATACACGATATAACACTAGATTGTCAAAATTGACTCAATGATTAAAGAAAAAGGCTTTTGAGAAAGCTCAGAAGCCCCTTTGAGATTTTAAGGAACTAACAGCATAGAACAAACAAAATGATTTCCCCTTATAGTTTTACATTACCTTGTATATAATCTACTCTTAAATACTCTTGTTGATTTGATATATAATGGTTGTTAAAGTCTGGAACATTAAGTGTTATTAATATGCATATTGTTACTAATTTATAAGTAGTGTTCCTAAATTTAATGCCTATTGATCCTAAATTTAGTGTTCCTAAATTTAGTGTTCCTAAATTATATGTATAAAGATCATTATGAGTGAAACAATCAAGAACTTACAACAAATTTCCTAAATTTTATGCCTATTGTTCCTAATTTACCAAATTAACACTAATTTCCAATAGAGAGGTATTTGTTACAATTTTGAAATTGTGCTTGTTGTTTCTTACGTAAATCCTCAAGAATATATTTAGGAATATGCATATAAATTAAGAACAATAGGAATATAAATTAGCATATAAATTAGGAATATTGTCATTTGGTTTGAAAGATAGAATCGTATAATCATACCATTTAACATAGCTTGGATGCTTCTATCACACAAAGCCATCTCATAATCATACAATTTAACATACCTTTTCTTTGCCCTTAGCTTGACTTGATGCAGCCGGAATCATACCTTTTCTTTGCCCTTAGCTTGACTTGATGCTCGGAGGAGTAACTGGGCTGTGGGCTGTGTATCTGAGATTGAGGTGGACCTTGAGACATTAGTTGAATTACTAGAATATCTTAAAGAGTATGACTGGATTGAGCAAGATTATTTGGTATAACAGTTTCATTCTGCTTTTGAAATAGAATTTGGTATAACAGTTTGGAACATTTGGTATACAGGTTTGGAACATTTGGTATAAAAGTTATACAGATTGACTGGACATTTGGTATAAAAGTTATACAGATTGACTGGACATTTGGTATAAAAGTTTTAGGGAACTTGGTATAACAGTTTGGAACATTTGGTATACAGGTTTGGAACATTTGGTATAAAAGTTTGGAACATTTGGTATACAATTATAATGATGAAAGAGACAAACAGATATGAAAAAAGTATTAAAATTTGATACCTTTACTTTGCCCTTTGCCCTTTGCCCTTTGGTTGACTCGATGCAGTCAGAGTAACTGTTGGCTGGGAAGGTTGTGTTGATGCCTGAGACAGAGGTGGACCTTGAGACAGTGACTGTGTTGGCTGGGAAGGCTGTGTTGATGCCTGAGACAGAGGTGGACCTTGAGACAGTGACTGTAATTGTGGCTGCTGTGAGGGGTTGGTTGCTGCAGTAGATGTTTGTGCTACCCCTTTGTTTTCAGTAGGTGTTGGTTTTAGAGGCCTGAAACACTTCTCGTTCTAACAGAGAGAATGACGACAGAGGTGGAAAATTAAAATTTGATATGAGATCAGATTAAAATTTGATGAAAGAGACAATTAGCTATTT